TTTTTTTTTTCTTATATATGGCAAGTAGGTATGTATCGTTTTCTTATTTTTGAAGTCTTGGGAAATGGCTGATTCGGATTTTTATTATTTTCTTATTGCGGATTGCGGGTTGTAGTAAAGAGGGTGTGGGGCGGGGAGAGAAAATACCTACCTAGGAAGGAAGTGAACGGTAGGTAGGAAAGGCATAAATAAGCTAGCTAGCCAGACCTTTTTTTTTTTTAGATGTCTTTTCTAGTCCGGAGCTCGAAGCAATATTGAATAAGGAAATGAGTTGATGATTTGCGAGCTGATGGCTGGCTGGCTGGCTGGCTGGCTGGCTGTGGTTTTATAGCCATGTCATACTGATTGGAAGTCTCAAAATGAGTGTGTACATAGAGTGGGTGAGTGGCCGTATTTCTTGTTCTATTGCTGCAGTAATACGTGTAATGAATGGTTTCCGCATGGTGTAAGAAACTACAACGACAGGGCTTGCATGAGATATCGACGATAGTTCGTAAGTGCTTTCGCGGCGGCCTACGGAGAGCGCTAGGCATATCTACGTAGCTAGCGACTCGGGGGAAGGAACGAGATTGGACTTGAATTTGGATAGAAATGATTGAATGATTTGATGTTCATACTTTGTCGAAGGGTTGCAATTTGATTTACTTAATCATGGGAATTCAAATTGTGGGGGTGAGGATGTGAGGGGAGTTTGGTAAAGCCCTTTTTTTTTTTCTTTTTTTTTTCTTTTGGGGTTGGGGTAAAGGGATAGGGGTTGCGGAAACCGGTTTAATGGATATGAATAATGGATGGATGGATGGATGGACTTGTAGAGGGAATTACTGAATGGACCTGTGATAGGATTTTGGATTTATTAGTTTCCATTTTCTTTGTTGGGTTTTTCTTTGAAGTGAAATGAGAGGTGGTGGTGGATACTTGGAAGAAAGGCGGAGGGCGGAGGGAGTATATTATTTAATTTACCCAGTCATAATGCTATTGCTTTTTATCTAAACCAAAGAGTGAACAGATGTCTGAATCGATCAAAGATGAAGGCTAGAAATTTGAAGATATATGTTTTTTATTTGTAAGCGGCAAAGGGTCGGAAAAAAGAGATGTGAATGATAGCAATGCAGTGTTTTGACAGCATTCCCCCTTAAATAAGAACTGTGTGTTAAGCTAGCTGCTAGCATTGAGAAATTAGAAAAAGAAAAGAAGGGAGAAAGTCGAGTCATCGGGGAGTTGGAAAACATATCTTTTATGACAGCGGTGTTCCTGATTCTTAACGTCTCGTTCCATCTTTTCTTATCGCTATACAGGTTCCAAAAAAACAGTACATATATACGAGTAATGTGGAACTCAAGGGAGGATTTTCAAGCCGGTCACAGATATCCTTGGTGCAGAAGTGATTGATATCTAGATTTGAGAGTTTGGATTCCGCGACTTGGACTAGAGTATATTAACACTCTCCGTGGTCCGGCGGCTTTCACGCAAGGAGTATGCAGATCCAAAAGAGAGGAAACCCAGAGTCCAGAGAGAGCTCGAAAGGTGATGTTTACCTGCCTATGTACGTAGACCCGTGTGAAAATCTCGGCGTTTTTGAAGGGGGAGATTTTGTTACTAATGAGTATAGCTACAGCTATAGAATATAGGAAGACTTGTTGGTATGTGAAACATGTAAGAGAAGGCGACTAGCAGTGCTTGATATATTGACAGCAATATTTTGACTTAGATAGTTGATATGATACCTACCATCTTACGTCATGCCACGAGTTCAGCTTCTTGAAGTCTCTTGATCTTTTTTTTTTTTTTTTTTGATGGGCCTGCCTTTCAGGCTAGGTTGGAAGTGGAGTTTTATATGGCATGGGCAAATCAAGACGGAGAAAGGGGTACCGCAGATTAAGTGAAACTTATATCTTCATCAATAGTAGTGAATCACTGATATTTCTGTGACTTTATTCATGCAATTTCTACGTGCACTGAAAAAACAAATACCATATCCGTTAGACGCTGAAGAATATTGTGTCGAAAGGTCAACTATGGAAAGAGCTGGTAGAGCCCAAGGGGCTACAGAATGCTACAGAGGCTTCTTTCGTATCAAGGACGTCCAGGGGAGGACAGGTGAGACACCAGGTAGACGAAATAGCTGGAATATATCAAGAAGTAAAGTTTAGCAGGAAATGCAAAAACATTAGTGAAATGTAAATCGACAGCAGTGATTGTCATGATAAGATCAGAGTATACTTCTTTAAGGCATTTCGTGCGACGGAAGCAGCGGAAGCTGCAGGGCGAAATTGTGAAGCTGCGGGTACGGCGGCGACGGCTCGAGGTTGCGAGGCAAGTTGGACGAGATTTGAATCTGAAGCTATAGGGCGAAGAAATGTGTAAGCTGCAGGTACGGCGGCGGCGGCTCGAGGTTTCGAAGCAGCTCGAGCTTTTATCCACCCCTTGAAGAGGGTTACGCGGAAGTGAAAGACTGTTGAATTATTCAATGTAGCGAATCTACTTAATACTCCGAATCCCGTTGGCCGTCTAAACACAGGGGCATCAAATCATGATTCTCTCGGGGGTGTTGGTTTCTTGATCTGTGGAAATGAAGCAGTGTGGTTTCGTACCTCTCGTAGGTTGAAAGAGGTGCTAGAGTGAACGCTGAAAGTGTTGTGCTGTGCGGTTCTGGATCAGCGCGTTCGGTGAAGGAAAAGTTCTAGTGGATGATTATAGATGACAGCAAGTAGGCAAATGGCAATATTTTCCCAAGGACCTTGATATCAAAACCTAAAGTTCGAAGTCACGCATTTCTCTCGTTGATGCCTCTGTTAGCAGTTGCGCATTTCAATGCTCAGAAACGTATGGTTGTAGCCATAGAAGCAGATGAAATACGGCGTGTCTTCAGTAATAATCAGTTTTTTTTTTTGTTGTCCAGATCAATTCGTCCTTTTTAACATCGCGCTGCAATGCTACTATTCATATTCACCTTTCTTGCTCGCCCAGTCACTTAAGCTAATACCCGGCCAGGAGAGTGACTATATCCATTTCTCGTCTATACATATTCCCTATCAAGTCCATTCCTTACCAATTTTCGCGATCAACACTTATAAAGATGTTCCTCCCACCGCTACATTGCCGACGAGGGATTTGGCAACTACGGCAGCTGTAACAAGGGCAACGGATCTTGTGCAACAACAGGTATGCACATTTTCTCCTTGAAATTCTACATTGGTTCAGCATAAAAGTAGCACTCATTTTTCTTGGCTGACTGCTTTCCAACCGCTAGATAGTAGAAAGCCTGGTGTTAAAAATGGATCCAGGCCAAAGGGGGAGGTAATAGTGAACAAAATGAGAGCAAGCCATACAAGGAAGATTCGCTCAATACTTTAAGAATTACGTCTATGTGACTGACAAAGTTGTCGACCAAGCTTTTCCACCGGGTGATATAGCCGGCTCTCCTCGATGTACATCACCCTTGTGCAATGCGCCAGCTGTGGTCAAAGTTTACAGGCCAGTGTTTTTACCGGGCTCGATTCAAAAGGAAAATTAACTTTCTTATATTCAAGCAGCGGATTATTAAGAAATACTTTGGTTACCAATCTTGTGATTTCATGAAAAGGCCATACCTTCCGTCTACGAGGACAGGGATTGACTGTTACATTCTGCTTAGGTCATCCGAAGACCAGAAGATACCGAAGTATTCTCTCAGTTCTCGATCAAGATCCATCATTTTTGTTTCCGAGTAAGTGAAATACAGCTGTTGAATGTAAGTCTATATCTTGTAAGAGTAAGCTGCTGCGAAGGAAAAGCTATTCTGATTTTTGAAACATAACGAAGTGCAGGCGAGGTATTGAGACTAGTATGGTTCAATGACAGCAGTAGCTTCATTGACACGAGAAATCTACAATTACTTACGTATACGTATCGTACATATCTTTATTTCACGCGCCGTTCTGCTTCGTCTTGCAACTCAAATTCTTGATAGGGAAATTGCTCAGGTTTGCGTTTTTCATTGGTCATGGTTCTTGTAAAGGAGGAGCCCACCCGATTACTTGGTTCCTGCCCGGCTATTATGGCTTACGTTACTATTCTGAAGGTTGTATGCATACGGATTCCGGGCCGGAGGGGGATTGGCATATAGCCTCAATTGACAATGGGCAATTGGCTATCCTTCAACCGACTTGTATTCTGTCATGCAAACAAATATTGATTAGCTCTCTATAATTCGCTGACACTTGGAAGTTGGTAGCAGTTGCACAGAAATTTGAACAACTTCGTCTGTCTCAGACTTTCGCACTGAGAATTGATCTATCAGCAACTGTCTTCATGGCCAAACAACTCTGGCAATAGTCAGATCGTCTTTGTTATAATTCATCGCATCAACGACTTGCCAAGAACTGACCGGGCTCTTCAGCAGGAATCCATAGGCGGATTTAAGCGACATCACATGATACGGTTACCAGAATTCCAATCTGTAAATAAGTATACCTTATGTACTTAGACTATGTGTGGAACACAACCAAATGTTAAAGCTGCAGGGCTGCGGCTTGCTATCAGTTACAGTTACATCCGAACGGCGGTACTTATTAGTCTGCCTCCTGAGTACTGTACCGACCGGCCGTACTACCCAGTAACCTCATCCCATTCTCGAATACAAACAAAGTCTCGGATGCAATGCATGCCAACATGCAGGCACCAGGCACAAATGAAAATCATTTCTCCCTATATGGTTGTACCTTCCCAGGAGAGCTTATTAAAGCTTACCCTGTCCGACGACCTGTTGATCGAGAAGCTGATAATTAAGGGAAGAAGGGGGTAGTAAGGGTAGTCATGACTCACGAGTTGTGCTTCCTTCCCGGGTCACGATTAGCGGATGACAGAGGCAGATATATATTACGACCATGGGCGATGGACCATGGTTCTGTGCAACTTCCCCTCCCTTGTCCAAGTGTCCGCTCTTCTTCCACTCTCGTAACTCGTGCCTTTGAGACATCAGACATCTGGCATTACACATCAAGCATCAAGTATCAAGCATCATGTTGGTCTCTCTCTCTGCAATCGTTGCCGTCTGGGCCGGTGGTCTCGCCCTCGAGGTGACGGCTAGCCCCCTCTCCTATTCTGGCCGAAAAAAGCGTGCAATTCCTGCATCGCACAGTCTCCACGAGCGCCACCTGCCCTCGTGGGAGCATCAATGGTCCAAGAAGTCAAGAGTCCCGGATACGCAGATTCTCCCCGTGCGCATCGGCCTGAAGCAGAGCAACCTCGAGGCTGGGCATGACAAGCTCATGGAAATGTGAGCAGCCAATCTGCACTGGCATGATGTGGAAACATATACATCGTACTGATGATTACCATCAAAGCTCTACTCCAGGAACTGAGACCTACGGCAAACACATGACTGCGGAAGAGATCATCGAGTTCTTTGCTCCTCACCAATCCTCTACTGAAGTCGTTTCGGAGTGGCTCCTTTCGTCTGGGATCAGTTCTGACCGAATTGGCGTATCTACCAACCGACAGGTGGCTCTCCCAGCGTCTCTCAGAGACCCACAGCCAGCAAAAAAGGAAGATAACACTAACCTATACAGTGGATTCAATTCGACGCAAACGCTGCTGAAGTAGAGACCCTTCTCTTCGCCGAGTTCTACCTTTGGGAACACCGCTCAGGTGTTCATGATATCTCCACCAAAGAGTACCACGTGCCTACTCACGTTCGAGAGCACATTGACTACGTGACTCCCGGAACAAGACTTCGGGAGAGGAAGATCACGGCCGGTGAAGGTAACGAGGTTTTCAAGCGTTTCGAGAGTACTGTTAGCGCCAGACCACTCGTCACGAAACTTCCTGGATTCCCTAACCCCAACTCAAGTGTTTGCGACATTTACGTGACTGCCCCGTGCACTCAAGGTAAATAGGCTATATTCATTTCCAATCCTCCTTCTCCGGGGCTGACAATGTCACTTAGTTCAATATGAGATGTGCAATGCTACCAAGGCCTCACCTGGCAACAAGCTAGGAATCTTCGAGTCTCTTGATGTACACTATAGCAAGAAAGATCTTGATATTTACTACAGCTCTCTCTACCCGTCAGTCATCATTTCTCCACTCTCAGTATAGAGATTGAAACTGAGCTAGTAACATTCCCAACGGCACTTACCCTGAGGAACGTCTGATTGATGGTGCGATTGGAGCGACCGAAGACTCTACAATCTTTGTCCCAATCGACCTCGAGTCTGGCCTCGATTTCAACTCAGCCCAGCCTTTGATCTATCCCCAAGAGCTTGTTCTGTTTCAAGTCGACGATGAGTACTATGAATCAACGGGTAACTTCAGTGGCTTCTGGAACAGTGCGTACCATTCATAGCAGCTCGTGGTGACCTGCTAACGAATCCAGCTTTCCTTGATGCTATAGATGGTAGTTACTGTACTTACAGTGCCTATGGTGAGACTGGAGACTGTACAGAAGAAGCCTGCAGAGACCCCTCTTACCCTAATCTCAACCCCGGGGGATACACTGGTCAGCTTCAGTGCGGTGTATATAAGCCAGTATGTTCCTGCATCGCTCGACGTGCATGGAAGAGTTCAAATTGACTGACTTCTCGCAGACAAACGTGATCTCCATCTCATATGGTGCAACCGAAGCAGATCTTCCAGACTTCTATCTCAAGCGCCAATGCAATGAGTGGATGAAACTTGCTCTTCAAGGTGTGACTGTCGTCATGTCTTCCGGTGACGCGGGGGTAGGGGGGAGCATCTGCAACGGCTATTCTGGTCGGATCTTCGATCCCGACTTCGCATCCACATGCCCCTACGTTCTTTCTGTCGGCAGTACTGAATGGGATCGTTTTAACGCCTCTGTGAATCCCACTCCTGGACAAAAACTCCACGAAGTCGCCACCAAAAGATTTCCCAGCGGCGGTGGGTTCTCCAACGTCTTCGGAATTCCTAGCTACCAGCGTACCGCTGTTCAGGCCTACTGGGACCAAAAAGAGAGTTCCCTGGGCTTCCGTGGATACCATCACCACGTCGAGAACGGAAACTTCAGCAGCGTCACGGGAGGTCTCTATCACCATGGGGGACGCGGGTACCCAGATGTTGGAGCTGTCGGTGATAGACAGGTCGTGTACTCAAACGGGTCATGGTGGCTGGTCGGCGGTACTTCGCTCTCGGCTCCCGTCTGGGGTGCAGTTCTCAATTTAATCAACGAGGAGAGAATTGCTGCTGGCAAGGGAACGGTTGGATTTATCCACCCTATCTTGGTTAGCTCACACGCTTTGTTCCATACATGAGTGGTAGCTAATATCTTCTTGTAGTACCAGCATCCCGAGGTTTTCACAGATATCACAGTGGGTAGCAACCCTGGATGTGGGTCAGCAGGTTTTCCGACAGCAGAGGGATGGGACCCAGTGACTGGACTCGGGTAAATCTCAGGGACTTTCCGCAGATCTACTATCACGAGCTGACAATCACTTCACAGCTCGCCCATCTTCCCAAAGTTGCTAGAACTTCTCATGAGCATTTAACAACCGAGCTGATGTGTATGAAGATATGACTATGAATCTGGAGTGCGAGTGGTTGTGTATGGGTAGAGCAAGTCTCCGATCTTGCTTTCAGATCCGAAGTAGAAAATACTATCTGTCCATCTGATAGACATATGTCTTTTTCACCAGGAGTCTATATCCGCTGCCGCTGGAAGAGAACTGGGGCTAATCATCTCATCACAGCCTGATTAGTTGTTCTTTAGTACCTCCAGATTTATTATTTGCGATTTTCTTTGAATTCTATAACACAATTTTTTTAAAACCGAACCTCTCTTTCTACAGATGAGTCGCTACTTTGGAATTATCCGCGAGACTTGGGAAATCCGCCAGCCTCTCCAGGTTTCAATCCAGAACTCTCGTCAAACCTGTTCTTGGTTTTAGCGAAAGCTCTTTACTTGCATGGCCCGGCCTACCTCTGTACGTTACAAGCTGGCTAAATTTCTATATCAGAACGAAGGCTTTAGGTCACTGTTGGTGGTATACTAATGCGACTACAGCGTCAAATATGAAATAAACAAGCTCCATACCCATGAGCCTAATGATAAGAGAGCTCGGTACGGAAAATGAAAAGCGATATTTTTCTCGCAAATAGAAGGAAAGTGCTACCTGATCTAGGAAGGCAGTCCACGTGACTCCTCACAACTAGGTAGGCCAGTAGCACTACCTACCATGACGTAGCAGGAATCTAGATCGTACCCCAAAGCAAACAACCCGCAACCCACCATACATTCATAAAAGGACTTTTCTTCCCAGGTAATCGCAACTTTTCTTTCGCAATTCAATCCCGTCCTGGCTATCTCATTCTCGAGTTTAACCATCAACCATCAACCATCAACCATCAACCATCAAGCCAACCCTGCGCCTGCATTTCGCCACCGCCACAATTCAATCAAGCTTTTGCGCCGACAAGGACCATGCCGCAGCAGCAGCAGCAGCAGCAGCACCGACGCCAGCACTCCGTCGAGCGCGTCCTCAAGTCGCCTCTCCTCTTCGCCTTCCTCACTCTCCTCCTTTCAGCGCTTTACCGCTGGCCTCGACGATGGGTTGTATCCGGAGCGCCTCTATTACAATTCTTCATCCTGCTTGGCGACTACAAAGGCTACCGCATCTTCCCGGGCCATGCGTTATGGCCTCTGTTCACGACGTTTAATCTGGGCTACTCGGTATGCTCAACGTCGTGGTTTTTGTATGGTGTTTTCACCGTGCTGTGCTACCCTGCCATCTTTCTCGTTTGCCTGTTCCAATTCGAGGCGGCGAGCAATGTCGCGAGGAGGAGCTTGCGGCATGCGTTGGTGCAGTTGCATTTCATCGATGACAAGATTGCCTTCTTCAACATCCCGGCCTTGGAAATTGATACTGATGTTGACGGCTTGATGGTCCTGCGCGGTGTCACGTTTTCGCTCAGCAATCTCAGTTTCGTGGTTCATGGTGTGGAAGTGGGCATCAAGTTGAGCGATGATATGGAGCTTTCCATTCAGACGGAAGAGGTTACGGTACGCTTGTTCAGGGGCATTGACATCGGAGACTGCTATGCAAATCTGAAGGGTGGGGATTACGAGATGACATTCGGGTGCCTGGAAGGGAAGAGAAAGGATTTGGACGGGGATTCAGTCTTTATTGAGGGGACGCCTCTGTTGAAGGCTGCCTCGAGAGATGCAGACCGGAGGAGCATCGATGCGGGTAGACCGCGCAACAGCAGGTCAAAGGTGGCTGTTCACGAGATTAAGATGACTGAGGTTATGACCGATGGGAAGATTCCGGATAATGTTTCGCCGAAGACAGGACTGAAGTCTATGAAGAAGATTTCTCCCGACAATGAAGAAGCAAGTGCTCGATACTTGCGGACATTGAACTTTATCAAAGAGACGAACGCCATCCATGAGGCGCGAGAACATGTCAAGAAATTCACCCGGCAAACGATTGACGTGGAGCGAACTTTTGATCTCGGAGACGCCAATGCTATCCGTGCAGCTGTTTGCTCGCAAATTCATTCTCAGCCCTCGGTTCCTCACCCGCCTCCAAAGTCTATCCGGGTAACCACCCTCCAAAATTCTTCGCCTCCTTACGTCGATCGCTTCCTACACCGTCTCCCTATGCTCTTGCGCCTCCTGCTAAGCCCTCTCAGCTACTTCCACCCTGTGCAAGTTTCCTCCATCACAGCCAGCGCCTCTGGTCGTTGGATCGACAGTATCCTCGTGCAAAAAGTATTCAAAGAATACGCCGAGACCAGCTCCGAGATCGCCCACCTGCAAGCGGATATCTCGGCCTGGCTCTCCAACGCCAACTTCGTGCTCGAGCTTGGATCCATCACAGGCCTCGCTCAAGTCCCCTTCATCTCGACTTACGACATCGTATGCCACCTCGCAATAGATGACCTGTTGGCCTACCGCGCCCTGCCCGCTGAGGTAGACCTGAAGCAAGTCGTGAGACTAGGCGGCGCAGACGCCCGCTTTGTCGTGCCTACTTTCCTGCTCCCGCACCACGAGCACATTCTCCCTCCTCCGCCATCCGAGAACAAGAAGCTCGAGCTCGAAAAAAACGTTGATTCCGCGGATGGGATACCACAGGAGGTCAACGCACAGCATTCTCTGGACCAAGCCCTGTCGGACGAGACGAACGTCTCAATCTCCGTGCACGCTCGCTTACCAGCATTCTTTGAACAGGAACTCCTCGATTTTGCGGCCGCGCTGGTGAAAGCCACCAAGGTGGTGGAGATGGAGAAGGAACCCGGCGCCATGGATGAGAAAGTCAAGGGCATCATGGAGTTCGGACGGGCACTGAAGGGCGGTATGAAAGAGGGCGTCAAGAAGGCTGTCGTGGACGGCGCCGTGAACGAGAAGTGGGTCGCGAAGATGGTGGGGAAGATCACGAAGAGGCTTGAGGTTGCGAGGGGCGAGGCCGGCTACTCGGGCGATATCCCCGTCAAGTTGGGGAAGTACCGAACAGGGCTGATGGAGGTGGAAGGGGAGAAGCTGCTGCCTTGATTTTTGGGTCTTGGTGCGATGGAAGGGATGGGAGGGGTTGGGGGGCTTTTCGGCATGGCGTAGCGTTTGTCTGGGAAGGGGGAGGCGCTTGAGCGAGAATGTAGTGTCCACACCAGGAGTTTCTCGCTGTTGTTCATGAGAGAACTTGGGGCAGTGAATAGAATGAATAGATCTCGCTTAGCGAGAAATTGAGAATTCGGCTGCTGGATTATCTACTAGGCCTGGACTCCTCTGGTGGGTTATGTTACTGATGAGAATGGGATCGCTCGCTGGCAGCGCTCGTTTCTGAGAGAGGGTGTGTGACTCGTATACGTATAGCCCTGAATGAAAGAATGAAGTCTTGGTCAGAATATAAAATTTTCCTCCCCCTTGAAAAAAAAAAATATATATATAATCCGCAAAAGAAAATTGCGAAAAGCAACTTGGAGGAAGCTCGTTCAGAAAGAAAAGGTTGTTGCAGCTGAGAGCTAGCCAAACATGACGAAAGACTTTCGAGACGTATTTTACTTTTTTATGTCTTGTGTATACTCGTATGCACACACAGCCGGGTGGTAGAGGTATCCCATCCCATCCCATTTCCATGCATGCATGCATGCAAGCAACCCAACATCAGCCAAACACAATAATGAACCCCCTCTCCTCACAGATCGCCCTCCAACTGACATGCCCCAGACCCTCCCCTCCTCCCTCAGCCTCGTCGTCAACCCTCCGCCACACCTCCCTCACGACCTCCCACGCCCTGCTGATATTCGTCATGCCCTGCCTCCTCTCAATGCCGCAGAAGGCAGCGAGGGCCATCTCCCTGTCGGGTGCGCTGGTAGCCTCGCAGGCGGCGACGAAGAGCGGCCAGAGGAGCGCCGACATGGGTCCGTCGAGGCACTGCGCTGCGAGGGAGACGACGCTGGCGCAGGCGCGCAGGGCGAGGTGGGTGTGTTTTTGCACGGCGGGGTGGGAGCGGGGTAGGCCGCGGATGGTGCGGTGGAGGTAGATGAGGGAGGAGTGCCGGTAGGCGGAGGCGTTGTGGTAGATGCTTTGGATGCGGGGGGTTTGTGTTTGGAGGAGGAGGGGGAGGGTGGAGGAGTCTGGGCTGGCGGTGGGAGGGGACGAAGAGCAGGAGGAGGAGGTGGTGGTGGTGGTGAAGAATGTTGGGCGCCAGGAGGTGAGGGCGTTTTCGATTGCTTGGGAGGTGCTTTCGAGTTCTGTTCTGAGGACGGTGGCTTTGCTTGTTTCGCCCGCGGCGATGGCGGCTTCGAGGGAGTGCTTGTTGGGGAGGAGGTGGGAGAGGCGGTGGATGATGGGCCAGAGGTCTGTGGAGAGGCCGAGGAGCGTGTCGACTGCACTTAGAGGAGAGGGGGGGATTGAACCAGAGGGTGATGGGGGGGTTGGGAAAGGAGATGGGACCGCGGGTTGTGTGCTGGAATTAGGGGCCGTGCCGAGAGAGAGGGCGGCGATCACGTCGTAGAATCGGAAGGCCTGTTGTTCTTGTTAGTTGGGAGGTCGGAAAGGGGGGAAGGGGGCTGGGAGGGGACCTACATGCTCGAGGAATTGGGATGTTGGCGTGTTGAGTTGGGGGCCGGATTTCATGATTGTCATTGCGCCTTTCAGATGGCCATTAACAATATTGGAGTCTCCCCTTTGGACGAGCTGTATTTTGTTAAAAGATGGTCTCTAGGAGTGTTAAAATTAGCCGAGACTTACAACTTCATAGTAAACCAGCAACATGATAGCTCCCAGCACCTCCTCCCTATTCGACTGGTCATTTTGCTCAATTAGATTAGCGAGCCCCTGTAAAGCCTTGTTATGGAAATCCAGCGATTTCTCCTGGTTTACAACTCCTCGATACTCCAAGTGGGCACTGCTCAACGCAAATATCGCATTCATGATCGGAGAGCTGGCATGCGATAATGGCAATACCAGTTGGCGAAACGGGTTCCCGTTGTCCTCTTTAAACACAATGAGATGTGACAGAACATTGCAGAAATGGTCCACCAAGGCGCGGCGATTCGTGCGATCGGTAAACTCCTCGAACACCGGCGCGCAAAACTCGAGCAGCGGCGATGCTACCGGTGACGGCGCAATCATCGCAAGATCGGGATACTGACTTCGGCTTCCAGCAACCGTCATCGAGACAGCTGGCGCAGTGGGCACCAGGTCCGTCCGTATGATCTCTTCTACGTCAATCCCGTACGGCGTCTCCCACTCTCCCGACTCGTCCGAGCCCGGGTACTGGTACACAGAGTCTATCTCCCACTTGCTGACCCCAAACTCGGACGTCTGATCATAAAAGATCCTCCCGTTACCGAAGCGGCCAGGCCAGCGATCCGAGTCCTCGCTTCGCAACGAGAGCGCGGACCCAGCGGACGACGTCCTTCTCTTCTTCCGCGGCTTCACGGCTTCGTACTCGCAATTCAGCCCGCGCTCCTGGCATCTATCGCACTGCGGCCGGTTCTCGTTGCATTTCTTTTTCTGCGCGCGTTTGCTGTTAGAACTTGGGGGCACCTTGCGCGGTAGGGGATGGACGGGGTGGGATGTAAGCACCTTTTCTTTGCTGCTCCCCCAGTCAGCAAGCGTCAATATGATTTTGATATTACAAGTATACGTAGAAGAGTAATGAGGAGGGTAACTGACCAGTGTATGCACCCTTTTTGCCAATCTCAAGTCAGTGTGCGGTTCTCTCTGTATGGGAGGAGGCGCATTGAATAGCATAGGTAAAGAAAGGTAAGGGTAGGTAAGGTATAGAGAAGTAATTTCCTTACCAGCTCTTGAGCGCCGCTTGGGGGCTTTGGGCGCGGCTTTCTTGGTGTAGAGGAGCATACTCTTTCTTCACTTCGCTTCAGATCACTTCAGACCACTTCAGACCACTTCAGACCACTTCAGATCACACTCCACACTTCCCATTCCCATGCACAGCGAAACGATGATATATAAGAATGAGATATAAGAATAAGAATGGTAACGATGAGATTCAGGAGAGCAGGAATTGCGTGCGCTTTGATGTTGATCTCCGGCAGAAGAGCGAATGGGCCACAGATGAGGAGCCCAGACCATGTCGGGGCCCATTATTCGTTGACATGGACATGCAGCAGCTCTTTTGCGGGGTAACGCAGCTTCGGCCAATACGTCAATACGTACTACGTACAAGGCTTATACCCACCACGTGATGCATGGGGGTGGGAAAGCTACGTAGCACTGAAGTAGAACGAGCGAAGATCCTCATCAAATCGCGCTTCTTGTTTTGACAGAGCTTTCTTAGATGTTCATATCTAGATACCGGTATGTTGATCTGGAAACGTGGCTCTTGCTTGACCTTCTTCGTATTACAGGAACAGCATCAAAAATAACAGCAACATTCCGCCCCCTAAGCGCATAACAAACAAACAACTTCGGACCTTGTCATCAGCCTGAAGCCGACCACTTCGAGCCAAGCCAGCCATGGAGAACCTCCACCCTCCTCCGTCTGTGCAGACACAAGCGTGGATCTGTAGCCGAGGCTCTCCATGTTTCCCCAGGTTCATCGAACCTTTTCGTCCCATAGCCCGAGATTTTTGACCGAGACGGTTTAAAGTGCCAATCCACGCTTCAACGCGGCGTGGCGAGGGAGAGCTACCGGTACTCACTCGCCTGAGATGGGAAGCTTATTCGAAATAAGGACTTCAAAAGCCGGAAAATGAAAGAGCTGCGTCCCGACCCCTGAGGTGAATTGAGCTCGAAGGCTTCCATTTGCCGAGAGAAGTAGGTAGACAAGAACTCATCTAGCTGAGCTTAAATGTGCTTGAATTAAGCCTCGTGGAAGAGAGAAAAGGAGATGTTTTTGTGCTCGTTGGACACGGGTAGCGGTGTCTTTTCTGATGCGGAAGCAAGTCAATATGTACGGTAGGTACCGGTATCCAGGCCCAGTGCCTGCAACTGAGCCCTCGTAAACGCTTGCCGGCGCGTGACCGCTGATCCCCAGGACAGGGATCATCATTATCCTCGCCTCTCTTCTCACATACAGTACCGGTATCTGTTATACACCTCTGTATTCATGTCACGCGGATCGATCCCCCGCCTAGGGAAAACCGTCGACTGCATCTTCATCCTCGTTTTCAACCTCTCGGCAGCTCCACACTCAGGCCACGTATTCGCCGTATGTAGGTAGACACCGCTTGGTAATATATATACTGAGCGCGGATAGGCGTCGATGTCTTGCGTGTGGTACGCCTGCATCAATACCGCACACCGTGACATGAATGCCGTTGGTAGATATCCGCTGTAGCCTATCCTCATAAGAATGGCTATCTGGTCGTCTGTGCACCGGAGGATAATTTGATATATTAATAGCACGAACGCTTTTTGGCTTAAGCTTGGAGTCGTGACAGCCGTGGCTACGTCTTCGGTAGTGGTCCTCCCACACCTCCAGGATAACGAAAGGTACGAAGCGATTTGGCCGGCTCGACGTCGTGAGTTAGTGCTGCTACGACGCGATTGCCATCTGTGAAGGCCGGGTCATAAATGTAATTGCGGACGCATATATCGAAAGGGCCCTCCCATTCCGGCGTGAGGTATCTGGATTGTGCTCTGAGAATCAGCTTCTGCGGAATGTAAAGCCAGAGGACGCCCGAAACCGCAATGAGGTTGTTCGTTTAGCAAAGAAAAACGGTCCAGGAGACTCGAAGCAGTATCTCGTAGTCGATCGAGGAGCCGGCGGCATCTCTGGGTTCATCTGAGCCATGCCGGATGCGACAGTCTCGTTGGTTCCACTTGACCACAGGACTGAGCTGCTTGGTACACAGCTCTGTCTTTCTCCACTAATGAATACGAAGGTAAAAGTGTATGTGCTTCGTTTAGGTCGCCTCCGTATATTCGGAACATAGCAACCTATCTGTAGGTCGCCCTTGCTCTGGCTTTGCCGGCTGAGCAACACGTGCATGATTTTGTCTCACGCATCATCATCGACCAACCCGTCGCCGCGAATCCTCGATATCATGTGACTTCACCAGAACAAGCTCTGGGATATCTTTTCCCTACAGGCCTCCCCCATATTGCCAACCACAACTTGTACTCCGTAAGAGCCCGAGCAGGCATAATTAGCCCGCATTTCAGATATGATAACATGACATTTTATGGCCGAAAAGACTCTCACATTACCCACTCCTACCCACTCCAGGTGGGATATCGGCGTGTTGAAGAAACCAGCCTCAACACCTCAACCTCATATCTAGGAGGATGCTTTGAAAATCGCAGTCGGCTCGGTTCGTATATCGTTCAAGGATAATCGATAATCCGTCTGGCTTTTCGGGCCAGATTTAATAGAGAAAAGAGGCTAGCAGGGGTCTCTCTCGCCCATTTCAATATGCTTCAGGAGCTCGAGCTTGAGCGATGAAAAAGTCAATCCACGAAGACGACATACCGGTACATAGTACATTCCCTCTTTCTGGGCGACAGATCTTCGACATCACGAGAGGAAGCTGTGCCGACGATAAAAATGCATAGCCGTACCGCCTCTTCCTCCCTGAGTGCTGTAAGTGCCCCCCTCTCCCCTCGGAGAGCCCTTGCGGGGAATGTGCACGTACTTTGCCGGAGGGTGGCACCGCCCGACATGGTGATGATTATTACGGAGATGCGATACGTGTCGATATAGAGCTGAACGGCTGACCATGTCCACAGATTCGCAATCGTCGAAAGAAGAATGCGAAGAAGGGGTATGATTCTGTCGTCGGAGCTGGGCTTCACATCCCGATGTTGACTTCTCCGTGACAGAGTTGAATTTTGCGTGATGGTTTGCGGCGGTTCCGGCACTGGTTCTCTCTACCTGCTCCATAGATTTTCGTATGCATCTGACAGTTGAAAGGTAAAACAACATTTGTGAACACGCTCTGTGGGAAGAAAGTTCTGGAGAGCAAAGACTGTGACGATGCCGGAAACGCCCACATCGAGGAAGGCGTGAGCGTCAAAACAGTCACGGTTGGTATGCTTCTCTGGCCAATTCCGCTCTACATGAACAGCGTCTAACGGAAATTCCAGAACTGGAAATGGAAGAAGAGGGAACGAGGATCGCTCTCACGGTGATCAACACCCCTGGATTCGGAGACCAGATTGATAACGAGGCCGGGTCAGTTTACAGCTATCCGCCTGATGAAACCTCTGCATGAATTCTGACCGGGCACAGCTTTGGCGAAATCATCAGCTACATCGAGAGGCAGTATGATGAGATCCTTGCCGTCGACTGTCGCATCAGGCGCAAACCTCGCTTCCAAGACACCCGTGTCCACGCTCTCTTGTACTTTATCACCCCCACAGGTCACGGGTTACGAGAACTCGATATCGAGTTGATGAAGCGGCTCTCTCCACGCGTAAATGTGATTCCTGTTATCGGAAAAGCCGACTGCTTGACTCCAATGGAGCTCGCTGCCTCCAAGAAACTGATCATGGAAGACATCGAGTACTACGGAATTCCGATTTACGATTTTCCGTATGATATCGAGGAGGATGACGAGGAGACTATTGAGGAGAATGCGGAGTTAAGGAGCATGATGCCTTTTGCGATTGTGGGAAGTGAGGATGTGGTTGAGGTCGAGGGGCAGCAGGTCAGGGCAAGGCAGTATCCGTGGGGTATCGTGGAGGTGAGCAGTGTTTCATTCCAAAATGATGCAGTTGGGCGCGGCCGAAGAGCCATTTTCCCGCTCCCCGACTTCTGATGTGAGGTAGGTATTGGGTGCTAATTACTTGCCAGGTTGATAATCCAAAACACTCCGATTTCCTAATTGTCCGCTCTATCCTATTGAGCTCTCATCTCGCGGACTTGAAGCAAATCACGCAAGACTTCCTCTACGAGTCCTACCGTACCGAAAAACTGAGTAAATCGGTCGAGGGCGGCAACGAAGCGTAAGTTTCCCCGTCAATCATTCTTTCCTCTCACTCCGCCTTTTCCACTTTCCGCTCTCATTTCTCAACCTCGGCTAACACATTACGTAGCGACTACTCCATGAACCCCGAAGATCTCGCATCCCAATCCGACCGCATGACAGAAGAGCGTCTGCAGCGCGAGCAGGAGAAGCTGAAGGAGATTGAGATCCAAATGCAGAAGGCCATCAATGAAAAGAGGCAGGAGCTGCTGGTAAGGGAGAACGAGTTGAGAGAACTGGAGGCGAGGATGTATCGCGATCATCCGGACCAGCTGGACGCGACCCCTGGTGGTGCTGGCATTCAGGTGTGAACAAACCAAAGCCTTTTGGTTGCAGCACTACGGCATGGCTCGGTGGAGCTTTTGGAGTAATGCTGGGAGCTCTTGAATGTCTATACAATGTGTATTTACTAATTTAGATAAATAATTGGATATCACGTGTGTAGCTGCTATGACTGGTTTCATGTCTCGCGAAGATAATTTTGTCTGATGTGCAGCAGAGCCAGGAGTTGGTGAGTATCCGTCCACCCTGGAAATAATCTACAACGTCAGTGTTCACACACAGGATCACTCCAGCACCGTGTCTAGATGGCTAATCGTATCACTTCTTAGAAAAATCCTTGTCGCCCACGGAGCTGGATTCCTGTTCCGAGAAGAGGGCAGGATCAACGCCCAACACTTCTCCGTTCTGTAAATCCTCCACGTCGAATCTCGGGCCGGTAAAGTTTTTCTTGCCGTCGACCAACCACTGCACAATCGAAATCACGATGATGATAGAGAAGACTACGATGCAATAGTCTGGAATTTCTGTCAGCGCCGTCCCACGCGTCCCGAGTCGGACTGAGCAGGGTCACTTACTCATATTCGAACCTGTTACCGGCAAATCCGGAGGGAACACGAAGAGCACAGTGGTGAGTATCACGTAGGCGATGCCAATCTTTATTCTCGTCAGCTGGATCGATACCATCGCCCCCCTTATCTCGCTTTACCGTCATGAATGGGCAGGCAACCTACCAAATTTGCAGTCCATCCCAGCAGACCGTTCAGCTTGAAAGGCCTACTTTCTGGTAAGATGCTGCGTCCACGCAGACAGTTGATCGCGATGGGGATACCATATGAGACGCCGAGGGCAACGACCGAGGCGGAGATGATGGCGTTGAAGGCCCTGGCGAGGAGTTAGTCTTGAGGACCATCGTGTGGGAAGGGGAGACGGACGAGCTCGAGCCGAGAAAGATGCAGCCGAATATGATGACAAGAGCTACGTTCAGGTAAAGCGCGTTGAGGGGCAGGCTGAGTCTGGGATGTACCTGGAAAATGCAAGTCAGCTTGATTATCAGGGAAGTGGGAGGAGGGCGAGGAGGTTGATCTACCCTGGCAAATACACGTGAGACGGGCAGTCCGCCATCTCTCGCAAACGCATAGGTCATTCGACTTGACGTGGTCATGATACTCGTCGTGGCGAACAAAAGACATAGGAGGGGGAAGCTACCAACTATCTATCAGTCTGCGAGACAGGAACATTTCGGCTCCGGGAGACTCACATCAACAAGCAGATCGCACCGGCCTTACTGCCCGTAGCATTATAGAAGATCTGCAGCAGCGGCCCGGCCGCACTCTCAATAACACCATCCGGACCATCAACCTGCCCCGCCACGAACAGCAGGACCATCAGAAAGATGAAGCCCGTGAAGACCCCGATACCCACGCAGGCGATCATGATCCTGGGCCCTTCAACCGCCGGGCTCGGAATCTCCTCGATCATGTGCGCCACGGCATCGAATCCCGTGAGGCCCAACCCGCCTTGCAGCAGGCCCAGCAGCCAAGCGATCCCGTCCGGCCAGCCCGTCTCGTTGATGAACTCGGTAAACACATATTCCGCAGACGTATAATCCGGGCTCGCACACGCCAGCACGGTGATGGAGATGACCACAAAGCCCGCAATGGACCACATGAAGGCCGCCCTGGTGATGCTGGGCAAGGCAGCCGTCATGAACGCGTTCACCAGAAACGCGGCGACATTGTAGCCGATGTAGATGAGGAACTGGTGCCAGCGGCGGGCGACGAAGGCAGGGTGCACCAGGGAGATGACGCCCATGATGAGCTGCGAGCCGAGGAGGCCCCCGGAGCAGATGAGCGCTATCCAGCCCGAGACGTTGATCCAGCCCGTGATCCAGGAGAGGAGCGGGACCCACGGCCTCCAGGAGATGACGGCCACCCAGTGATACTGGCCTCCGGCGGTCGGGTAGGCGGAGAGGAACTCGGCCAAGGAGACGGCGAGGCACAGGTTGCAGACCCCCGCGGCTGGATAAAAAACACACGTGTACATGTCAGCAAGTTACCCAGAAAGAAAGAACGAGAGAAAGCACACGCATCGCATCGCATCGCATCAATCACCTGGCAGAGCGAGCGGCTGGACGGATAGGTACTACTCACTGATCAGACCCCAGAGCACCGACGTCGGCCCTCCACTCGGTAAGGCGAGGGACAGACTCGCAGCGAGCGCCGTCCAGGAGTTCAAAATTGCGAACGCGAGACCGAGCATAGCCAGCGGGGAGAAGTTCCGCTTCAGCTGGCCCTTGTGACCCAGCTGGGCCAGCTGGGCCGCGTCGGCGTCAGCAATATCTTCTTGTGGGTGCGGCATCCTCTCTCTCTCTCTGTTTCCTCACAGGTAACCAAACAAAACCATCAGGCAACCTTTCCTTTCCTTTCCTTTCCTTTTCCTTCAGAAACCGCTTTTCCCAACAAGAATTGACAATCAGAAGGCGAAAAATGAGGAAGGAAGAAGAAGAAAGTAAGCTGATTCCTCAAGCAAGAGAAAAGTGGTGGTTTTCAAGACGTTGAAAGATAGAGAGAGAAGCTTGTCTTGTCGTCCGTTAAGACCAGGACCCCATTTCAGTCCAGGCCGGTCCAGTCCACCCACTATTCGGGAGCAAGCAAAGAAACAACCCCCGGTTTTGATAAGGAGTTTGTTGACAGCCGTCCGTTGACCACGTACGAGAAAAGCTATGGGGAGGGGGGAATAACTCGGGATCAGAAACCCATAATGATAAATAAAATGTGGCTCTCTCGGTCGATGCCGTCATTGTGCTGCAGCCTACTGATCAGCATTGCCAGGGTCTAGCTATATCCGTACTGTAGTTGTAGTACCTGCCTACCACTCCCCCATTGCCGTCTTATCGTTTTGATTAAATACAAGAACGATCCTATCTCCATCGATCGAATGATTCGAATCCTGCGCTTCTCTCACAACCTTTCTCACGGAGTAATCGAAAGTAGTTCTGCTGAACTTTTGGATACAATCCAACTATTTTTCTTGAATAGAATCCTTTCTCCAGTCTTGAATCGATCGGCTCAATACCACCTACAATCCAAGCTTTCCAAACCATAAATGTAAATTCCATCGAGCATCATCATCATAGTAGTATCTTTCAACGTCATCTCATCTCATCTTATTAGACTAGAGCTTTAATTCAGCCAAAACAATCGTACCCCGTCAAGAATCCCGTCGATAACTCACAAGCACTACGATTTCAAATCATCATCAACAACAACACGCGACGTGCGGCGTCTCCTCGAAAATATTTCCCCTCATCGGCTGCTCCGGACCTCTTCCCTTCTCTTTTTCCCCCTTTCTCGACTATCTACTAGGCTGATTACGAAGCAAGATTGAAAGGATTATAGATCCTTGACGGGCATATGCCGACTTGAAATAGAGAAGATTGAGAGGATTTGCGATAGAAGGGGGAACGGGTATGGAAAGATGGGGTGGGCCTGCGGAAACTTGAAAGAGCGCTTTGTTTTAACTACATCGACTCGATATATATATATAAAAAAACAAAAAAAAAACCGGCTACGAACGCGAGATTTTATCGCTGTATGATAATGATG